AAATTGTCAACACAAACAACACACAAAACCATCTTCCTTGGATCAACAACAAAGTGTGCAGTACCAGGACACTCAGTGTGTTTGGAACCATGTGGGAAATGCTCCATTTATGTGTGCAGTGGAATTATGTTCCGGGCTGGGATCATTCCGGCTTTGTCAGCTCCGCGAATGCTCAGCTATTTGACAGCCATACGGGTCATGAGATGATTTTCATGCTGCGGGACTAAAGGGAGAAAAATAGGGTCTGGTACCCCAGACCATCACACTTCCCCCATCGTTATGCCAACCCCACCATCCCAGCCCAGGGAGTAGGGGAGCGATTGATCGGCTGTAGAGGCTGAGCCACAGGTGCAGTTGTTGACATATATTTTTTTATTGAGGTAGAGTTGACAAACAATATTAAATAAGTCACAGGTGTACAATATAATGATTCATATTTTTAATGGTTATACTCCTTTTATAGTTATTATAAAATATTGGCCATATTTCCTGTGCTGTGCAATAGATCCTCGTAGCTTATCTATTTTATACCTAGTAGTTTGTAACTCTTAATCCCTTCCCCCATCTCACCCATCCCTCCTCTCCTCTCCCCACTGGTAACCACTAGTTTGTTCTCTATATCTGTGAGTTTGTTTCTTTTTGGATATATTCATTAGTTTTTTAATTGAAGCCTTGAAACACCTCTAATTGGGGGGTATTCTAATAGTCATTTTACAAGTGCGGAAAGTGAAGTTCAGAGAGGGCAGATAACTTGCTTAAACTCACACAGCCCGTAAGTGGAGGAGCCGGAATGTGAGTTGTCTGTCTTAATCCATAGCCGAACACGAACAAAAACGTGCTAACAGTGAAGAGAAAGAGGCAGAGGACCTGGTCAGTCTCCTCTGGAAACTCAACAAAAAGGAAAGGGTTTTTGGTTTGCTCGTGTTCTGTGTTTGGTGTGATGGAGGACCTGCTCTACCTGGAGGTATGGAACTAACCAGGTGAGTTCTTGGGGTCCGTCCCGACTCTATGAGTCTCCCTTGTTGTGAAAGTTCCTTAGTGTTTTAAAAAATAAATTTCGACACTAAACACTTTGGAGCGTCAAGCACACTTTTTTCTCTGAACTGCATATTAATAAGGTTTTACGTGAGCGAAATACCAGGCGGCCATTCATCCATGAAACTGGAAGTTTGTCATTTGGATCCTTGGCCCGGGTTTTACCAGCTTGCATCGCTGCTCTTGCAGAGCTGGCTGGCCTCAAGTTTCGCTGACCTTGCACGTGAGGTCTGCTTCTTCCTTTGAGATGTTGGTTCCAAGAGGCTTCTGGCCTCAGTGCCTTGTTCTGCACTCAGGTCTCTCTGGGGAAGAGGACCCAGGTGGTCCCAGCAACCTGTTACTAGACTACAGGCCTGCGCTGGGGCAGAAGCCCTCGGGGGTCCAGCGCCCCACCCCCATCCCAGCAGAGCTGCCGGCTCATTTAAGGACCCACGACGCACAGGTGGCCCCACTGCAGAACCCCTGCTCTGTGTTAGGTCCCGGACCCTTAAGGCAACAACAATGCCCAGAGCAACCGGAGCTCTGCGGGGGGGGTGTGTGTGGGGGGGTGTTGGAAGGGGACACCCACGCAAGGCTCTCCCACGAATGAATGGCTCCAGGAAATATCACTGACTCATTTCAGATACTAGTTCCAAAGGGTTAGCAACTGCTAGGCAGAGCAGAACAATGAAAATGAACACTGCGTTGAAATCCATCAGCATATACGTACGATTCAGGTTACAAAAACTGAATTTGCACCACTTTTCAGGAGTATATTCAGGGAATTTTGGAACCTAGAGACTTCAGAAGTCACGTAGTACATTAGCATTTGTTGCATAAAACGAAGCGTAAATACTGGCCTTGCAACTGTGGACTAGCAAAAGCATATCCCAAGTAAGCTATAGATTTGGTATGGTTTCAAAATTCCAGGTAGAATTTTAACGGGATTTCTCTTAAAGGATTGGTAGGTTATGTATTATATGCAAGAATTGTCTGTCTTAGGTTTTTTTTTCACATTTTACCTATTTACTCTTATGATGCTGTATTTTTAAAAATCATATTTCCTTTTATAGCTTGAATCCAGCCCTTTCTGCTGGTCTCCCTATTTCAGCAGAGAATTTTATCTTTCCTTTCCTTGACTGCCATCTCGCGGCTAATGTGGGTAATTACACTGGTACCTCTCTAAGCAAAGAAGTGGGAGAGAAGGAAGGGGTGGGTGCGGCGAGAACGAATTGATTCTTCTTTCCCTGCTTCACTTTCTAAGGGATGCTCAAACGTGTCTGTGTCTTCACAGATATTTTGATTCTGAGGCTGAAAGTCTAAATGGTCTTTCTACGCTGTCCTCTGGCTCCCCACTTTGATACAGCTGGTAGTTTTAGATGTCCCCTCTGCCTCCTGTCCCGGAACCTTATTTAATTCATTAACTAAAATAAAATGAAGCCAGTCAGATGCTGGGGGTGCAGCCTGGCCTCGGGGGCCCACACTGCACGCAGTGTCACAGGCAGCTTCAGCTCTGGCGGCCTCCGCAGCCCTCTGCTGAAGGGGAGAAAGGGGTCCCTTTGCAGAATCTCAGACACTTATACAGCTGGAGGGGGGCTTTAGCAATTGTCTAGGGGTGATTCTAGCCTAGAAAACTAGTTTCCTACGGCCAAAGTCGCTCCAGAATTGTAATCATTGGTGGTTGATCTTTCCCCCAAGTCCCAGGGAAAAAAATAAGTTAATGAGTAGAATTTTCTCAACTTACAGTTTTCTCCCATGCACTCTTCTTAAATCATTGTAAATACCGCCCATCTCTAACTGAATAAGCAACACATGACTCGACATTGAGACTCCGGAGGCCCACAAATGGGGGTCAACAGTTGTTCCCTACCCCCTCCCATAGCCCATGTCGAATAAGACACAGAGAGTCCAATCAGTCAAACAAGCCTATGGAGAGAAGGTCGAATTTTCCTTTTGTGCTGGAATTTTTAAACAATTTCTTATGATAAAATTAGATCTATCAGAAATCCATGATGTTTTGAGATGCTCCCGGTGTGGTGCTTCGGGACACGTGAGCATCTGTCAGCCCAAAGCCCTTATTTCAGAGAACCAGCAGCCCAGACCCAGAAAGGTGAGCTGTGATAGCGCAGCAGCAGAGCTGGTAACTGGAAGAGCCAGCTGCTCCCATCACGGCCGGTCCAGCCTGTGTCACCCTGTGCTACTTCCACGAGTCCAGACGTGCTCTCCAAGGTGAAGTTCCATCCACGCAAACAATCTCCTTAGACTGAGAAACGCCATGTCTGGAAGCCACCTGTTCAGGTGTGCAGTGCAGCTGCCACCGCGGGCACTTGGTCCCCACCACAGCAGGGAGCGGCTCGCCTAACCGGAAGGCTGTCCCTGAAAGGGAGTTTAGGGCACGCAGAGCTGCTTGGGAAGGCTGGTGTGTAGAGCCGTCCAGGGCCCGGGTCCGGGGGACGATGGGCAGCACCCCCAGGTGGGAGGGGTGGCCTCTTAGAGGGAAGGCGGGGGCCATCTTTTTCCTTAACACTCACTAACGACCTCTGCCACCACGTTGCTAAATCCAATGGCCAGTTCTCGGCCTTCAAGTTGCTTGACCTCAAGGCCCCATCCCCCTCCATGCACCCACGTGGTAGCTCCCAGATGACTAGCCCAGCTCACACCTCTGTCCCAAACCGCACGTAAGTGTGTATATCCAAGTCCCTACTCAAGACCTTCACGTGAATGCCCAGGACACATCAGCCCTGATGTGTGCAAATTTCCCCCAAACCTGCCGCACCTACAGCTTTCCCACATCCCAGGCATTGGCCACTCCATCGGTCCAGATTCTTGGGCGAAAAATCCTTAACTCCTTTTCTTCTCACGTCTCACCTCTGACGCACCAGGAACTGCATCGGCTCTGCCTTCAAACTGTGCTCCGAATCAGACCGCCCCTCACCTCCCGCCTGCCCGACCCCCCCCCCACGTTACCAGACGCAGGTCTGGCTGCTTCCCGCTCTCCAGAGATGAACGTGAGTTGGAATGGAAAGGCTGCTTTATTCAGGAGGCCAGCAACCTGGGGAGAAGGTGGACTCATGTCCAAAAACCAACTTCAAAGATTCTGCTCCACCATGAAAGTTTTTAAAGGGAGAATCATTTGGGGAGGGGGTCAGAGTCTTCGTTATCTTCCACTGTGTGCAGACTTTCTCCTGATTGGCTGGTGGTGAGGTAACAGGGCGGTGCTCCAGGAATCTTGCGCTCAGCCTGCATTCACCGTCCTCATCCTCCACGTGGATGGGGGCCTTTGTTCCTGCAGGAGAACCGGAAGATATTGTTATGTATATTCCATGAGGAGGAACCAGGGCCCTGCCCCAGGACTGCACTGTTTTCTTTTTAAGGTTCGTATTTGTTCTTTTTCAGATTCTTTTCCCTTATAGCCTATTACAAAATATTGAGTATAGTTCCCTGTGCTATACAGTAGGTCCGTGTTGGTTATGTATTTTATATATAGTAGTGTGTCAATCCCATCCTCCTAACTGACCCCTCCCCCTGCTTCCCCTTTGGTAACCATACATTTGTTTTCTATGTCTGTGGGTCTATTTCTGTTATATAAATGAGTTCTTTTTTTTTTTTTTTTTAGCTTCCACCTGTAAGTGATATCATATAACATTTGTCTTCTCTTTCTGACTTGCTTCACTTAGTATGACAATCTCTAGGTCCATCCATGTAGCTGCAAATGGCGTTATTTCATTCTTTTTTATGGCTGAGTAGTATGCCATTGTATATATGTACCACATCTTTATCCACTCATCTGCTGATGGACATTTAGGTTGTTTCCATGTCCTGGCTGTTGTGAAGAGTGCTGCTGTGAACATTGGGGTGTGTGTATCTTTTTGAATTATTGTTTTGTCCGGATATGCGCCCAGGAGTGGGATTGCTGTATCATATGGTAGCTCTATTTTTAGTTTTTTAAGGAACATCCATACCATTCTCCATAGTGGTTGCAACAACTTACATTCCCAGCGTAGGAGGGTCCCTTGTCTCCACACCCTCTCCAGCATTTATTGTTTGTAGGCTTTTTGATGCACTGTGGTTTCCTGACCGCTCCTGCCTCGTCCCTGCATCCCCTCCCTTCCCTGAGAAGCAGCTGTTTGGACCTGCACTTTGGAGCTCAGGGAAGGTCAAGGAGGCTGAATGAAGCCTAGTTCTCACAAACAAGAAACGGAGGCGGTGTGGAAAGGATTTGTACTCGGGCCCCCCAGAGTCCCCCCTGTTTCACCCTGGCCCACACCAGCCTCAGCGCTGCCTGACTCACTGCAGTGTTTCCACCTGGACTCCTGTTGCACTCTTGTTTCTCCCGAGGGTTTGTTTCCAAACTGCAGCCAGAATGATTCCTTAAAAACGCCTCAGGTTGTGTCCCCTCTCTGCTCCAGACACTGCAACAGCCACCTCTTCATCTGATGCAAGACAATCTCTTCCCCTGGGGCGTTAGTCTGTCCCCTGAGATGCAGGCACCAAGGTGGCATTAAATGAGGGAGGATTTTATTAGAGGACCTGCCCATAAGGAAAAATCGGGAGAGAGCACGATGCAGGGAGAGCCATCAGGCTGCAAGGTGAGTCAGCCCCCAGGTGAAGAGAGACGGAGGAAAGGTGGGTGGAAGGTGCCAGGCCGAGCATGGGCTCCTGACGGCTGGGCACGCCTCTGGCATCCCCTGCAGAGGAGTCCGTATTTCCCAGACAAGTGTGTGATCAGAGCCCTGCTTTGCTCCGGCGTTGGTTGGGAGCAGCCTTGGGAAGCGTGGCCTCGGCGCAGACACAGCCTGGGTTTCCTATCCCCGCAGCTTGGTCGGTTTCACTTCCTGTATTGGGGGGTGTGTAAGCCCCCACCCAAACCAAGGCCCCGTGTGATCTCGTCCCTCCCCCGGGCTTTCTCTCTTTGACTTTCAGCTCTATGGTGGCGTCTTCCAGCCGCAGGTGAGGTGTGCTCTCGCCTTAGGGCCTGCACCTGACTCCGCCCCTGCCTGGGGACTGGCTTGGCTCGCGTCCCCCATCCCCTTCTCCACCTCCCGTCTCTGGGAGGCTGACCCCGACCCCATATTTCATACTTCTATCTGCATCTCCCACACCTACCCTCCTGATGCCACTTCATCTGTGCTCCCTTCCTTGCTTGTAACAGGCTGTACAACCTACTGACTAATTATGTCTGTTTCAATGGCTCGTGTTCCTCCCTGGGATGTCAGCTGCATGAGTGCAGTGATCTTGGCTTTGTGTATTAATATAATCCAAGTAGCCAGAGCAGTGTCTGGCACATGGGAGGCTCTGTGAACACGGGCAGAATGCGTGAAAGTTGCTCTTACTTGCCCCTTTTTGTACACATGTTTTCCTTTATCAGTTCCCTCTCTCTCCTGTTAGTTGAGGGTCATCACTCATCCCCAGGGCCCCCTTCAGCGGGCGTGGCATCCCCACGACCCTGCCGCCCGGGCTTTGTGCATTTGTAGTCGCCGCACTCAGGGTGGGTCTGTGTGGCCAGCAGGGCGCAGCTGAAGTGATGGCAGGCTACTCCCGAGGCTACGCCAGAGACACGGTGGCTTCTCCTCACCTCCCTTGGATCCCTGACTCTGGGGGACACCAGCTGCCATATCGTGAAGACACTCAAGTGGCCCCGAGAGGCCCACGAGGGGAGGAGATGAGGCCTCAGGCGCACGGCCATGTGGGGAGCCTCATGCAGGGAGGTGGACCCCCAGCCCCAGACGAGGCTCCAGAGGACGGGGCTCCGGCCGTCACCTGCCCCGTGGGAGGCCCCGAACCTGTGCATCCTCGCTGAGCTGCTCTCGCTGCCTGACCCTCAGAAAGTGTGTGACATTGTACACGTCTGTCGTTCTCAGCTGCTGAGTTCTGGGTAATCTGTTGGGCAGCAGTAGATAACAAATACAGTGGGTACTGTTATTATTATTGTTCTTATTCACCCGATCTTAGAGGTAATGAACGGGACATTCACAGAAGCTGACCTGCCTGAGTTCCCGCACCTACGAGGGAGCAGGCGGGACCTGGCTCAGCAGAGAGGCCAAGTCCACTCGGCCACACAAACCCCTCTCAGCTCTGCATTTTACACGTCCGAGGTGAAAGCTCATGGCAGAAGAGGACTATGTATGCTTTGCTAATTATTCGGGAAGATGCGGCTCATCTACAAACAGCAGAGACTGAGCCACTAGGTCACAGACCTCCAGGACAGCTGAAACACAGAACCACACGCCTGGTCTGGTCGGCATCCACAACCTCTGGCTCGGAGTGTCCAGCCTTGCGTCTCTGGAAAATGACATCAGGCCAGAGGAATGCAAAAGCTGTCTGCCCACAAGCCCATACCTCTCCCCGTTTGTACTAGAGCCAGTCTCGCGTCCATTTCAACTTGGACGGGCTTTCCGTCCAGGCTTGCGGCTGTGTTTGCTTGCAGTAACCAAGGATTTAACATCGCGGTGATGCAGTCTTTCCCATTGCACCTCTCATTTTCAAAAATGCGTGTATGTGGCAAAGCAATTAAGTCATTTTGTTTCAGCTCCCGACTTGACTTCTCTGCACCCCAGCTCTTTTGCAACACTCATTCCAGCGATTTAAAGAGAAACCTCGTCGGAATCGCCTTTTTCATAAAATGGTCACCAGCTCCCCTTTGCTGTGCCTTATCTGCACAGTGCGGGCCAGGGTTTCACGGCTGATCAGTGTGAGCTGACGTGCATCCCCCGGGCCCTCCCTCCCTCCCCTCCCCCGGGCAGCCTGGGCTCAGCTGGAGGCCACTGGGCTGGGCGACTCCCCAGTGACGCTCTCTAGTAAGTGATAGCCGAGCCTTTATGGGGTGTTTGTGGCCCAGCAGGGGCTGGGGGCGGAGCCACTTCCTATCTCCTCTGCCCAGCAGCTCCTGCTTCACCAGGGAAGATTGCAAGAGCATCTGATGTCAGCTCTTGGAGCAGCAACCAGTTAATTAAAACCACAGAGTGTTTGAACACATGGAAGGTGAGGGGCACATCAATGCCAGCACGCTGGTGTCAGACAGACAGCGGCCCTCGGGGGAGCAGGGGGGTGCAGGACACAGACACACGACAGCGTCTTCTCCTGGACAAACGACCCTGCTCTCCTGCCAGCAAGTCTCCCAACCTGAGAACCGATCCTGGAAACAAAGTGACCAGTTTGATTTCCTGTGTGTCCCCTCTCCATGGGGCTGCCTTGTGGTGGGAAAAGCAGGGGCCCTGAATGACCTCTGAACTCGGCCATTATCGTGGCTAATCAAGAAACTTTAACGTTGTCCCCAAACGCACGCGTGTTAATCATCCTGGAGATGGAGAAACAGGGTCACCGAATTGTGTCTTTTTGAGAGGCTCCTGTGTCTGGAGGCCGGGCTCTGTGTTGCGGGCTGACCCCTGTGTATTGTCAGGTCTGGAAGGAGTCAGGAAGGGCCAGCGCCCTGGCGAGTTGTTAGGTCACGGAAGGTAATGGAGTTTGTCCTCTGCTTGTTCGTGTCACTCAGTTCAAAGCTGTCTGTTGAGTGGCCGTGGGACCTGCCATCAGCTAATCTAGATGCAGAGCATGCGGGCTCCTGGAAACGCATAGAAAGACGTTCAGGATGTCTGTGCATCAAGGCAATGAAGTTACCACTTCCCTTCCATGGCTGGGTCCCAAACCACGCCTGCCAAGGGCTTCATGGCCACGAGTTTTACGATATTCATGAACAAGACAATTGTGGCTTTCTGTGGAGTGCTATAGTATCTTGTGAGGATACTAGTCAAAACATTCCGTATTAAAATGGGCCTATTTATTAAACATGGTCTGGGCCTTAATGGAAGTAATCTGAATATGTTTCCTGCAATTTGCGAGGTGTATATATAGACTGTTGAATATTCTCTGTGCCTGAATATCCTCACGTGCATATATACAAATTCTCTATTGTGATTAGCCAGAAAGTCGAATTATAAATGATTTATAAATCCAAGTGTTAACCCTGTGTTTGCAACAGGGCTGTACCAGGATCACATCACCCAGTGTTCAAACATGGAAATGTAAACAGTCTCCATGAGAAGCCTCGACTGGGCCTTGAGGGGTGAGTCCACGGGGCCCCTAATTCAAGTGCGGAGGAGAGAGATGCATGTCACTTACAAATCAGCCACCCCAGCGAACGACGATTTTGAACGGGCTGCTTTGCATTTTATCGAACGCACTCATTTGCTGATGTCAGATTGTAAGGTTGGTTTCCATTTCAAAGAAAGTTACCTAAACACACTTAACCTGTACAGTTCTTCCCTTTACGGTCCAGATGGCTAAAAGGCTGGAACTGGGGCATGGAGAAGCCTTATACACAGCTCTCCCTTTCACTCGGTATACTGTACTTTATAGGTGAGAAGTGTGAGGGTGAGCGGCAGCAGGAGGTCTTCCCGGGCACCCGGCTTGTCTGAGATGAAGGGGACGGGCAGGCCCACCTTCCCCACCTGGGCTGCAGTCAGCCTGTCCCTCCCCACCGGCTGCTCCCCTCCACCCATAAACACCATCAGATCTCTTTCTTCCAACTTAAAAAAGAAAACAAACAAACCCCCCCCAAAAATGAAAACCCCGAGCCCTCCTCCCACAGGTAACCCTCAGGGACCTGGTAGGGCCTCCACCTCTCTCTGCTTCTTCTCACGCACACGCCTTTGGAGGATGCCTGTCTCTACTTACCGTCTCCCATCCGTCCCGTCCCCAGGCAGCTGGCCAGGGGCTTCGCCCTGTTCCAAATCCAGGAGGCGTCCTTCTGTCTTCCTGGTGACTTTCTTGCTTTGTCCGTTCATGCTTCTGGCTTCTGGACACTCTCCTGTCTGGCTTCTGACCGTGGTCCCCTGGGCCATCCTTCTGACTCTGAGACCCTCTGTTCTTGCTGGACACCCACCCGGTCCCCCACTCACAGCTCTTCTCACTTGATGCCCCGTCCTGGGCCATGCGCTCCCCGCTCGTGATCAACTACCACCCAGGGCGATGTCTCCCCAGTTATGATCTACACTCTGGACGTCACTCCTGAGCTTCTGTCTGAATATCCAACTCCACCTGGAAGCACCGTAGAAACCTCAAATCAATGAGCTCAAGGTGGAGTTGATGATCAGGGTAGGGGCTGTGTCCCATTCATCTCTGCATCACCAGCACTGAGCATGCAGGAGGCACTCAGTAATTGTTTGTCGGCTGAGTGAGGATCCCACTCAGAAGGCAGGGTCGAGCAAAAATGTTTGAGAACCTCAAGCACAGGTGACACTTCCAAAGGGATTCAGGGAACGTGGCCTGGAGCGTCTATCAGAACTGCCCGTCCTGATGCTGTCTGCAACCCAGGCCCCTGAAGAGGACCTCCTCGCCGTGAGGCAGTGTTTCCTAGCACCACCCAGTGGATATCCTGGGTTGGCCAGTGCCCTCGTCTTTTAATTAAAAATGACAATGCAGTTAAAGATTTGCACTGTCATAGCACCTGCCAAACATTTCTCATAAACTGACTCATTTAATCTCAACAGCGAGGTAGCTACTATCGTCTCCATTTAACAGGCTAGCAAACTAAACCTTAGAAAGTTTAAGGAACTTGCCTGCATTTACAGCTGTGTCCGACACTAGCCTTCACCACGCATCTGCCGCCATTGGTACCTTTGTTCTATTTGTTTTACGTAGTCGTTGTTATTGTAGCTCATCTGTTAAAGAACGTGAGCAGGCAATGTATGCGTCTCCTAGACTATGTCAGAGACATTCTAGCAGTAAAAATTAGTAATGCCAACGGGGCTAATAACAACAAACACAGACACATGCTAGGTACACGCGCTGTGTGGTATTTCCTGTGTGTCATCTCATTTAATCCCTGAAGCCACCTCAAGAAGAAGAACTCTTGTCAGCCCGATTTCACGTTCCCAAGGACACCAGCTTGTAGTGATGGAGCCTAAATTCAACCAGGTGGTCTGGCTCCAGAGTCAAGCTGTTAACCCCGTCAGAACGAACAACATTGAGAAGACGCTCCAAAGGTCAAAGGTACTTCCATGTAAGTTCCATGATCACAGAGCCTTACAGGTTTGGTCCGCATCCAATCCATCCTGTCAGTGCCCAGCGTGGGACCTTCCCAACAGTAGACTTTCAGATACCATTTACTGAATGAATGACCTATATAAAGGTGATATTGGGTGATGATGGCTTAATGCATCCATTACCCACATAGTTTCTTCTCCCTTTATTAAGAACTTTCAGGAGACAGACTGCCTTAATCCAGAGAAATTATTCCCAGTCGTGATGGGCTGGGGGAAGGTGCTTTTCAGTAGATGGAGCTGTTCTCACCCCTGCCCATGGTGACCCACTTCTAGTATTTATGTTGAATGTGGCCACAGGGCCACATCCCCACACAGTCTCAGCCACTGCACTTAGTTTTGGGTGGCCCACGGACCCAGTCCTTCTGCTGAATTATTTGGTACATGACCGGATGGCCCTGATTTGACAGCCAGGCCATTTATACCATAAGGTTTGGGTTTTGTGCAGACAGGTTGCTCTCCTCCGGAGAGCACACAGCTACAAGCTGGGTGATACTTCCCTAGTAACCTCTGTCATTCTTAGACTTGCTTTCATGTTATAGATATCAAGCAAAGCAGTTTCAGACAGCACGTCTACTTTTTAAAAACTCTATAAGGAAGGAAAACCAGAAAAAAAGTATCTTTAGTGGAAATCAGCCTTTATAACAGGGTCAATTGTGAAAGATCTTAAAGGAAGGAGACTCCCCGAGATATTTGGTCAACATGTGATGCAGTGAAACAAAACTTTGGGTGTAAATTTTAACTTTCGGACTGAAAACTTTAAAAAAGCATGTGCTTCCCAAATCAATGCTTCCATTCATATACTGGCTAACTTAGCATTTTTCAAGGTCTTTCCCCTCACCCCCTAGTAATCAAGGCTTCTACGATACATCTTTTGTATTTTTTCCCATTAGTCATCCCCGGACCCTGACCTTGAAATGTAATTTCCAGGGACCCCATATTTATACATAATTTAAATTTGTCTACTCTGATTAATTTACATTTTTAAAATGGAATCATTTTACTTTCTTCCATCCATCTCACTTTCTGACAGTGGCAGGATTCCACAAGCTTCCAGTTCAGGCAACATACCTGAACTGCCCATGTACCTCTGGTTCCCTGAGGTTCCTCTCAGGGACATGCGTCTCTGCTTAGCTTTTAACTGGAAAGAGCACCTGGGGAAACACAAAAATGGTTTTAGATTTGACTTGCCTAACTAGGTGAAGAGCTGCTTTTTTGGGGTAATTATCTTCAAGAGGCCATGTCTGAATGGGGAAGACAGAAATACTTAGAGGGAGAGGAGCTTAAAAGGGGTCTGGGTTTTCAAGAGTAAATAGCTTTTCTCATAAGTATTAGAAAAGAGAAGAGTATTGCCATGACCTGGATTGTTCCCCTCCTGCCACTAACTTCATATGTTGGAAACCTTAACCCCTGATGTGACTGTACTTGGAGACAGAGCCTTTGGAAGGTAATTAGAAGGCTTTATAGGAAGAGGAAGGGGATGAGATTGCTCTCTCCCTGCTGTGTGAGGACCCAGCAAGGAGGTGACCCTCTGAAAGCCAGGAAGACAGTCCTCACCAGGAACCCCATCACCTGGCACTTTGATCTTGGACTTCTGGCCCCCAGACCTGTGAGAAACAAATGTCAGCTGTTGAAGCTGCCCAGTATATGGTATTTAAAATTGAAGTATAGTTGATTTACAATGTTGTGCTAATTTCTGCTGTGCAGCAAAGTGATTGAGTTATATATATACACATATGTTTTCAGGTTCTTTTCCATTATAGGTTATTACAAGATATTGAATATAGCTCCCTGTGCTATACAGTAGGACCTTGTTGTTTATCTATTCTATATATAATAGTTTGCATCAGTGAACTCCAAACTCCCAATCCATCCCTCCCCCACCATCCCTCTCCCTGGGCGACCACAAGTCTGTTCTCTGTATCTGAGTCTGTTTTGTAGATAAGTTCATTTGTGTCATATTTTAGGTTCCACATATCAGTGATATCATAAGGTTATAATTACATTTTGAAGAGAATCTGTCTGCTGAGTGGATTTTAGAGTGAAGATCAGTTACTTTCTTCCTAACCCAAATGTAGGGAAGAAGAAAATGAAGTTGTACTCATTATTTTTTTCCGGTCAGTGGCTTTCAATACACTTGTGAAAACTGCCTATTGTGAAAGCAGTGTTTTCTTTTCCAGACAGGGGCAATTAACTGGAAGCATTGCAGTCTAGGCTCTGAATACTCTCACCAACCTGAGGTTTTCATTTTAGCTTTTAAGAGGAAGGTTATAAATATTAGAGTTAAGCTTTAGCTTCCCTAATGGAAAGCACCTTAGCATAAATTTTTATGTGCACGAATTACCAAGCCATTTGCTGTTTCTAAGCCTGATTTTACTACGGGGTTTTAAAACCACTATGTGCCTTTTGTCCTGAATGGAAGGGGATGCGTCAAATTCAGGAAACTCGGCTACATGTGGACTCTTACTCCTGAATCATTATTGTCTGTTTACACATATTCAATGGGCATCTCTCCTCAGCTTCAAATCATAGCAACCTGCCCTGTTCACTCCTGTTTCTTATGTTAAGAGCATCTCACTCTTATAACCTTTTACGTCCTGTTACTGTTTTGGGCCTCAAGTTACCCACTCAGCTCAACATATGATGTAATCTGCTTTTCTCTCCTTCTTTCCTTCTTCCCTATCCCCTAACTGTCTTGAACAGTAGTCTTCTAGCTTTTTGTTCAATTCTCCCTAAAATGATTTA